CTTCACCTGAAAGTGGAAAGCCACTTCTTCTGGTATCATAGGGCAGAAGGGACTATTCTTGGTGTAAGGTCTATACGTCAACCCAAAAGAAGCAAGACCGAGGATGGAGTACATGTAGCCACTAGATTCTGTTTATGAACCTCTTGTTTCCTCTGTATTGACATGGGGTAGGCCAGCTTAGTCCCTTACTCAGAGATAAGACATAAGATGGTTTAGATGTAAGATGGAGTAGAGAAAGAAATAATGAATTATGGAGAAAGAAGGCAGCTCATTTCTTCAGGCCCCCAAAGATGCTTAGCTAACACTCTTCTGTGCATGAAGAGAAAATGGCGTGTTTTATTTTATAAGGATGTGAATACTGATAGATCTTACTAAGCTTGCTTATGGCAATAAATTCTTTTGAATCTGAAAGAAAAATAATTGATGTTCATGATAGTGATATAACTAAAGATATTTAATATACTTCCTGAAACAACCCTGTAAAGACTAAAATTATATTGAATATAATTTGTATTTTTCTTGTTTGAAAATTGTATGGCATAGACGCTCATTGGTCGGAAAACCACCCATCCAGACCATGCCTGATAATTTGAGAATCATTTATTATTCTCTAGACATCAGTTCTTAGATTATAGAGTATTTGTCTTAAATGTGCTAACAAATACTACATAAACATTGAAAAGTCACACACGAAATAGATCACAGAACCTAGATCTACTTTAATTGGGGCCTATGTACACAATTTTATGGTAGTCAAAGTATGAAATCAGCTTTTAAATTGGTGTTCTGTGTCGAAACTATAATGAAGACTTTAAATAAAAAAGTTTGTCTCAGAAAGCTAGAGTTTCCATGATTATAACTGACCAGTATGGCCTTTTCAGTTTGAAAATTGTTTTATATAATGATGTCAAAAGCTTGTTTCACTGCCTTTCCTAGCAGTAGGAAATTTTGAATAAAGAAATGATTATTTCTTTAATTTCAGGCTTCATGAGTCAGAAGCCCTTCTAAATTGACTCTGGACTTTAATTTCATGACATACCTGTATCTAAATGAGTTATGAGTTGACACAAGGACCATAGTTCTATAATGATCTTAAATCAGTGGGTATATTAAGTGTCTTTTTCCTAAGAGATTATTATGAAACTGATGGTGTATTTTGTAATTGATGACATTTTAGGATTGAAAAAGTAATGTTTTTTTAAAATAATAAAATTCACAAATTTATAATTGATTTACTCATTACCAGAGTAAATTAAAACGAAATATGTCACTTTAGTCACATGTGGTTAAATATGCCCACTTGAATGGAAGAGAAGGGTTAGCCCTGTAGCTAGTGTACCGTGAATTGTGCCTTAACATGTTGTTGTGTGAACTTGGCTGCTGTGTGTGCCAAGGTGGAAGAAGGTTGAGAAATGCTGATCTACGTTGTTGGGAAGACAGAAGGTGAGAATGGCCTTTTTCCTACACTGTTGCTTTGGACATCCATTAACTAAGGAATTCCAGTCTCTCCCTTTTCTCCTCTCTCTCACCTCCCCAGTCAAGGGAGTTTAGGATAAAGAATTGGACATACAAGCCCCGGTCTGCCTTTTTTTTTTGGATGCCTATAGAGAGCCTATGTTGTGATCTCTTGCCAGAAATGTTGTATGCTTTGCAGTGAAGGCTCTATGTCCCTGAGAGAAGACCTGTGGTTGTGCAGGCCTGCCCATGCCGTAAGTGAACATGTCTGATTCTAGGTTTGATATTAGGTGGCCATTGTTGGCACAAACCTAAATTACATCCTCTAACCTAGACTTCTTCAGCGGTAAATCTGACATATTAAATCTCTGCATGACTCTTTTTGTCTTTCAAGTGGCTCAGAAGTCAGGAGGGGACAAGGGGTGTTATTTGACTCCCTCAAGCCCTAGGAAAGTTTAGTGCAGATTATATTTCAAAGTAAGCATGAGACAAAACCCAAACTGGGAACTTTTCTCTAATTTTAGATTTTTTTTTTAAGTCACGGCAATTCTATTGAAAATGGGTGATATTAGTTACAAGGCAAAATGCAAACGTTTGTTCAGGATATTTAAAAGGGCTACTGACTTGACATGATAGACCATGATTTTGACTCTAGATTTAATTTGAAGGAAAGAATGTAAAACAATCATGGTTTCCTCTGCCCACCCTGTCAACTTTCTTGAGAATAATTTACATATAATAAGAGGAACTCATTGTAAGTTTACAGAGAAGAGTTTTGACAAGTGTGAACACCCATGCCATCACCATTATCATCAAGATGTAGAATATTTCCATCCCAAAAAGTTCTCTAATGTTCATCTGTAGTCAGTTCTCCTTCACCCCAACAACTATTCAACTACAATTTTCATTCTGTGACTATAAATTAGATTTGACTTTTCTAGAATTTCAAATAAAGACCCCATGCAATATATACTCTGACCTTTTTCACTCAGCATAACACTTGAAATCCATCCATGTTGAGATTCATCTGTGCATTGTATATATCTTATTGCTGGGTATTATTCTGTTGTATGGATATACCACAATTTGTAACTGTTCACATCAATTGATGGACATCTAGGTTGTTGATGGACATCTAAGTTTTGACGTATTATGAATAAAGCTGCTACAAAGATATGTCACAAGTCTGTGTGTGGATATATATTTAAATACTTGAGAGTGGAACTGCTGAGTTTTACGGTCAGTATATGTGTAGCTTTAGAGGAAACGGAATCTTTCAAAGTATTTATGCCATTTTGTGATCCAGCCATCAATGTGTTGTGCCATATCCTTGTCAATGCTTGGTATTGCCATTGGTTTTCATTTTAGTAACTTTAGTGGGTGGGTAGTGGTATCTCATGGTGGTTTTAATATGCATTTCCTTGGTGATGTTGAGCATTGATTGCTTCATATGTTTGACATTTTTATATCTTTTTGGGAAGTGCTTTTTCAGATATATTGACCATTTTTTTATTTGGGTTATCTTGTTGAGTTGTAAGAATTTTTGTCCATATTCTGGATAAAAATCCTTTATAAGATATGTTTGTGAATATTTTATTTCCATGTGTGGCTTGCTTTTTTTGTTGTTTTTTTAATGATAAATTTTGAAGAGCAGAAGTTTTTAATTTTGATGGAGTCCACTTTACATATATATATATTTAATGGTCGTCCTTTTTTGTGTGTTGAGAAATCTATGCTTACTCCAAGTTTGGAAAGATTTTCTCTGTTTTCTGCGAGAAGTTTTACAGTTTTATCTTTTATAATTAGGTCTGTGATTTAAATTAATTTTTATGAAATGTATGAGGTAAAGGGTTAGGTTCATTTTTTTGATTTTCAGTTGGTCAAGTACTATTCATTAAAAATCTGCCCTTTCCTGTCAAAATACCTTCACCACGTTATTTGAAGTTCTGTCTGAATTCTACATTCTGTTACACTGATCTATATTGTATATATTCTTACGCCAATACCACACTGTCTTGATTACCAGAGATTAAAACTTGTAGTTTTAAAAATCAGTGTGATTTTTCCAACTTTGTCTTTTTTTTCTTAAGTTATTTAGCTATCCTAGTTTCTTTCATATACGTTTTAGAATCATTTGTCTCTATCTACATGCAAGTCTGCTGGGATTTTGTTTGGAATTGTATTGAATCTATAAATCAGTTTGTGAAGAATTCCTGTTTTAACAATATCACATCTTTGAATCCATGATCATGGCATAATTGTCATTGTTTTGGGTCTTTAATTTCTTAGTGATTTTTTTAGTTTCCTGTGAATAAGTTTGTTTCCCATGTTTTTGTTAAGTTTATTCCTAAGGATTTCATATTATTTGATGATGTTACAAGAAGTGTTTTTAACATTTCGTTTTCCAATTTGATATTATTACATAGAAACATCAATTTTTGTGTACTGACCTTGTAGCCTACAACCTTGATCATTCACCTATTAGTTGCATTAGCTTTTTTAGATTCTTTAGGCTCTTCTACATATAGTCATGTGAATAAAGATAGTTTTCCTTCTTACTTTCCAAACCATTTGGCTTTTATTTTTTAATTTTTTTAGATTGTATATTTTATTTATTCATGTATTTATTTTTATTTAAGTATAGTTGATTTACAGTATTGTGTTAATTTCTCATGCACAGCATAGTGATTCAGTTATATATTTCCTTTTCATATTTTTTCATGATAGACTATTATAAGATATTAAATATAGTTCCCTGTGCTATACAATAGGACTTTGTTGTTTATCTTTTATATATATAGTGGTTAGTATCTGCAAATTCCGAACTCTCAATTTATCCCTCTACCCCTTCCACTTCCCCCCTGGTAACCATAAGTATGTTTTCTGGTCTGTGAGTTTGTTTTTGTTTTGTAAGTTTATTTGTGTCACTTTTAAAAATTCCACATGTAAGTGATATTATATGGTATTTTTCTTTCTGGCCTACTTCACTTAATATGACAATTTCCAGGTCCATCCATGTTGCTGCAAATGGCATTATTTTATTCTTTGTGGATGAGTAGTATTC